TACAGGGCTGCATCTGTTAATTGAAACAAGTCAATTGGTATCCCATCAATTCCTGGGGCCTTTTTTTTGCCAGTGCCTTCGATGCAGCTTCTACTTCCTCCTTCATTACAATTGCTCCTGTTCATATGATACTTATTAAAATTTTTCAGTGTCAATCAATTCTTTCTGGTACAGTAATTTTGTGTATTCCCTCCATCTTCTTTCGATGCTTTCTGGGCCATACAATATATTGCCCATAGTGTCTTTCAATATTGTGACATGAAGCTTAAATTTCTTTTTTAGTTCTCTCAGCTTGACAAATTCAGAGTGAATTCTTCCCTTTTTTTATAGCTATCTGCACATTCCATTATAATACTTTGCTTTGTCTTCCAGAGCTACCTTTTAAAATCTGTTCAGATCTTTTACTTTGACATGTTTTTCTTTTGCTTTGGCTTCTCGATGATCCAGTGCAATCTTTAGAGTCTCTTCTGACATCATTACTATTTTTTCTTTCACCTCTATTTTTACAATGACGTTTTGCTTTCATCATGGTTAATATCATCCCACAATTTATCACAAGTTGTGGCTGACATTGAGAAGAATGGGAACCCCAGAGCACTTAATTGCGCTCATGCAGACCTATATCTGGACCTGGAGGCTGTTGTGTGAACAGAGCAGGGGCACACTACATGGTTTAAAATTGTGAAGGGAGTGCCTCAGGGTTGTATGCTACCTATTCTATCTGTATGTTGAGCAAATTATCCAAGAAGCTAGACTCTATGAAAAGGAGTGTGGTATTAGGCTTGGAGGGAGACTCACCAATAACCTACATTATAGCAAATAAAAACTGCTGTTAAGGTTGTGGAGAAACTGGAACCCTTACTCATTGTTGAGGGGAGTGTAAGATGGTGCAACCTTGTGGAAGGCAGTATGACACTTTCTAAAAAAGTTGCAAATAGAAATACCATTTGACCCAGGAATTCCATTACTGGGAATATACCCTAAAAAAACCATAACTTCCACTCAAAACAGATATATGCATACCCATGTTCACAGTAGCAAAGGGATGGAAACCACTCAAGTGCCCATCAATAAAGGAATGGATAGAGAAGATGTGGTATAGTCACACAATGAAATACTATGCAGCAATGAAAAACAAGGAACTCGTGAAATATTATACAAAATGGGTGACCCTGGAGGACATTTGCTGAGCGAAATATCTCAGTCACAAAAGGATGAAAACTGTATAATGCCACTGTTGTAAAAGAGGACTGACATTGGGGTTGGGGGAAACTAAGAAAAGGGGATAAATAATGTACACTGCATGGAAACAGATGAGGAAAGAACTGCTTAAAAGGAATATATAACTAGATATTATTTGTGTGATAACAGCTGCATAGTAAAGTGGACTAGGGTTGGGGTGGGGAATTGTACAACAATGAAAGATTTTTTTTTCTCAAAGAGAAAAGTGAACTGAGAGGGGACAAGGAGGAAAATGTGCAACAATGAATGAATGGAAATCCAAGTTCTCTATAAATTTTCATTGTTGTTGTTGTTAAGTGCCATCGAGTCATTTGCTACTCATAGCGACCCTATGTACAAGAGCTCTAAATGCTCTTCTATCCTGTGCCAACCTAGCCATCTCAAACCCACTTATTCCTACCGTTCCAGTCACAGAATCGATCCATCTCATTGAAGGTCTTCCTCTCCTTCGCCGCCCCTCCACTCTGCCAAACATGATGTCCCTCTCCAAGGACCAGTCCCACCTTGTAACATGCCCAAAGTATGTCAGACGAAGCTTCAGAATCCTTGACTCCAAGGAACATTCTGGCTTCACCTTCTCCAGGACAAACTTGATTGTTCTCCTAGCAGTCCATAGTATATTCAACACTCTTCTCCAGCACCACAACTAAAGACATCAATTCTCTTTCTATCAGCCCTATTCACTGTCCAACTCTCTGATGCATAGCACGTAATTGCAAAGACTATAGCCCAGATCAGGCACACCTTAGTTTCCAGCCTGACGTCGTTGCTCTTCAGTACTCTTGAGAGGTCCCTCACAGCCGACTTTCCCAATGCAATTCGTCTCTTGATTTCCTGGCTGCTGTTACCAAGAGTGTTGATTGTGGAGCTGAGCAAACTAAAACTGTTAACTATCTCAATCTCTTCACCATCCATACTGATGCTGCCAATTGGCCCAGTGGTGAGAATCTTTATTTTCTTGATGTTGAGCTTCAATCCATATAGGAGGCTGCAGTCCTTGATCTTCTGCAGCAAGCGCTTCAGGTCCTCCTCAGGTTCAGCAAGCAGCGTTGTGTCATTTGCATAACGCAGGTTGTTGATGACTCTTCCACCAATCCTGATGCCACATTCCTCTTCGTACAGCCCAGCGTCTCAGGTGATCTGTTCTGCATACAGATTGAAATTAAATTAAATTGTCAATTTTTTAAAAACCCTGCATTATGCTGATGACACAACTTTTCTTGCTGAAAGTGAGAAGGATTTGTTGCAGAAGATTAAGGAATTCAGCGTTTAGTATGAATTGCATCTCAATGTCAAGAAGACAAAGATTCGTACCACTAGACTGATAGGCAGCTTCATGATGGATGGAGAGGAAATTGAAACTGTCGACAGCTTCATCTTGCTTGGATCCACAATTAACACCCTTGGTACCAGCAGTCAGGAAATTAGGAGACATAGTGCACTGGGAAAATCTGCAGTTAGGGACCTCTTCCAAATTAACGATGTCAGTTTGAGGACTGAGGTGCATCTGATTCAGACCATAGTCTTATCACTTGCTATGAATCTGAGAGCTTGACAATGAGTAAGGATGACAGAAAGAGTTGATGCCTTAGAGTTGTGATATTGGAAAAGAGCACCCAACATCCCATGGACGGCCAAGAGAGCGAACAGATATGTCTTGGAGAGGGTGCAGCCAGAGTGCTCTTTGGAAGCAAGAATGATGAGACTTTGTGTTACATACTTCAGGCATGTTGCTAGGAGTTACCATTACTTGGAGAAGGACATGATTCTGGGAAGGGTAGGAGGGTCTGTGTAGGAGAGGAAGACTCTCAACTAGGTGGATTGACACAGTGACTGCTGCAACGGACTCTTGTGTGTCAGGAATTGTGAGGATGGTGCAGGATAGAATAGGGTTCAGATCTTTTGTTCATAGGATCACTATCAGTTGTATGTGACTCGACGACAACTAACAACCACAACTACAATTCATTGTTCAGCTTTCACTTTTAAGGTAATTGAAAACAACGTACCTTGAGTCAGGCACACTTTTGTCTTCAAAATGACATTTTTGCTTTTAAAAACTGTAACGGAGTCTTTTGTCACAGATTTCCTCAGTGCAATACATAATTTATTTGATTTTTTGACTTGTGTTTCTATGAGCACCGATCATGGATAGAAATAAGATCAACTTTTTAAAAGCTTCTGTATTTTCTCTCTTTGCCATGTTGAATATTGGTCCAGTTGTGAGGATTTTTGTTTTCTTTATGTTGAGGTGTTCAAGGCTGTTGATGTTCAAGGGTCGTAATGAGTCACAAGCAATTTGATGGAGAGGGATGTCATGCTTGGAAAGGTGAAGGAGAGGAAGACTCTCAACCAGGTGTATTGACACAGTGACTGCAACAATGGGCTTGAGTGTGTTAGAGATTGTGAAGTTGGCACAGGATAGGGCAAGGCTCATATCCATTGTTTTTAGAGTCACTATGAGTCATACTCAACAGCACCTAACAATAATAATAAGCAAAGTATGTGACAGGAAGTTTTATCATCTTTACCTCCAAGGAACACTCTAGCTGCACCTTCTCTAAGACATATCTGTTTGTTCTTTTGGCACTCCCATCTCCCCCCTCAGAGCTTCCTAATAATAACAGAAACTAAAAACCTAATGATGGTTACCGTGGGTGAGGCCTGGGCCAGCATATAAGAGGAAAGCAAGCAATATTCATTGACACCAATAATTGTGAAGCTACTCTCACTTTACTCTGAAGTTCATGACAAAGGGAAAGATGGATTTAAATATACTTTCAGGCTTTCTAGTATAAACCTCCTCCCCTTTATTCCTTTATTCCTGTTTCCTCTTCTCTGCGGCAGAGTGTGTGCTATCATCACGTTTCCACATACTCAGTCTACTTCAATCCGTTGAAGCTGTCCAACCACCCTGTCTCGGGCATTGAGAGTCCTTTCAAGCTGGTTCCCAGTCCTCTCAGCATCACCCTACAAGTCTGATGTGCTTCTTTGTTTTCTGACACAGATGATACATTTTGAACTCAGATCTGGAGTCAATAGTGATGCCAAGCAGGTTTTGGTCATCCTTTGATTTTAAAAATAAGTTGTTTACATTTTCTTCTGTTCTTTATTTGATTTTCTTTTTTCCTGAGTCTTTTTCTTTTTTCCAAACAGTTGTGGTAAATATATATGTAACAAACATTTGCTGTGTCAGCATTTTGTACATGTACTCTTCAGTGAGGGAGCTCTTGTGGCCCAGTGGTAAGGCACTGCACTGCCAAGCCAAAGGTACACAGTTTGAATCCACCAGCTGCTCTCTGAGAGAAGGATAGGGAGTCTCCTTCCATGCCATTTATTGCCTCTGAAAACCCAATGGAGGGTCAGCTATGAGTTGGTTCCAACTCAACAGTACTCAACAACAACATATACCGTGAACTTCCTCCCCCTTATTTATATATGTGCATCTACATCATGATAATGAAAACAACAACAAAACCTCATAATCACTGCAGTCAAGCTGGTTTTATCCTACAATGACCCTCCAAGAGGATACGCTCTATTGGCTTAGCAGCTGTGCATCTTGATAGACTCCCATCTTTCTCGCTCTACCCAGTGGTGCATTCAACCTGGAGGATATGCTTAACCTTTTGGTTGGTATCATGATGTGCTATAGTCTAACCTACAGCTTACACCAGCTCCTCAATGATGTTAATTATGCTCATCATGTTCTTCAACCATCACCATTGTCTGATTTCCAATCTTTTCTTTTAATGCAGATTCCAGTGTCAAGCCTAAGAGACACAGTCCTAGAGCTGACTGTGTTTGATCAACACAGGAGAAAGTTTGATAATTTCAGTTCATTGATTCTAGAGTGGAAATCCTCTAATGAAACACTAGCCTATTTCGAAGATTATATGTCAGTGGAAATGGTAGCAAAGGATGATGGCAGTGGGCAGACTCGGCTACATGGTATTGTGACAATTTTAAAATCTTTTCATTTACCTACTAAATTAATTTTCACAAAGAATTCCCTTGTAGGAGAAAGTTTTCTTTTTTCATTTTATTATATATTGTTTTTTATCTTTGGGTCCAAAAACAACAATGCAGAATAATCTTTGCCTAGGATCCAACATTTCTCACAAGAATAAAAAAATTGAATTCTTTTTAAAGTGTATTGTCTATTGTCGTTGTATTGTCTATTAAGTGCCTAAAATTCCATAAATATCATTAATTTATTAGAAAAATTTAATATCTACTATGTGTAAGGCCCTCTACTAAGCACAGGAGATAGAATAGTGAATGAAACAGACAGAATCTCTCCCTTATAGTCTGACTGGAGAAAGCAGACTTTAAAGGTTACAATTGTGTTAAGGATTCTTAAAGGCAAATATAAGGTGCTTTGAGAGCGTTTGTTATTGTTGTTGCTGCTGTGTGCCTTAAAATCATACCTGACCCTTCAGCGTGTTTCCAGAAGCAGTAAACAGGGGAATACAGCCTTCAGTACGGATAACATCTCAACATTAAGAAAACCACACCACAACAAGATAAAGGTAAATAATTCAATAGAAAAATGGGCACAGGATATGAACAGACACTTCATCGAAGAGGACATTCAGATGGCCAACAAGCACATGAAGAAATGTTCAAAATCCCTAGCTCCAAGAGAGATGCAAATTAAAACAACTATGAAATATCATCTCACCCCAGTCAGAATAGCAAAATTTAACAGAACAGCAAGCCACAAATTCTGGAGAGGTTGTGGAGAAACTGAAACCCTTATTCACTTTTGGTGGGAGTGTAAAATTGTGCAACCACTCTGGAATGCAGTATGGCGCTTTCTCAAAAAGTTGCAAATAGAGATACCATTTGACCCAGCAATTCCACTGCTGGGAATATACACCAAAGAGACCATAACTGACATCCAAGCATATATATTCACACCCATGTTTATTGTGGCTTTGTTCACAAGAGAAAAGAGATGGAAACAACCTAAGTGCCCATCAACAAACGAATGGATAGAGAAGCTGTGGTATATTCACACAATGGAATACTATACTGCATTGAAAAACAAGGAACTCATACAATATTATTCAAAATGGGTGACCCTGGAGGACATTATGCTGAGTGAAGTATCTCAGTCGCAAAAGGACAAATACTGCAAGGTGCCACTGTTGTAAAACAGGACTGATATCGGGGTTGGGGGGAGACTGAGAAAGATGGGTTCAATAATGTAATACTGCATTGAAACAGATGAGGGAGAAAACTGTTTGAAAGGGATATGTGATTAGGCATTTTTGTCATGACAGGAGTCTAGAGTGAAGGCTACATGGTGGAGTGGATCTGGGGGAGGGTTTGTAAAACAATGAAAGAATTTGGCTTTTACTTTTCCAAGAGGGTAGTGTGCTGGGTGGGAGGGTTGGGAGGGGAGAAAAGTGCAACAGTGAATGAATGGAAATCCAAAGTCTCTGTAAATTTTTACCGAAGTTAATAAAAAAAATTTTTTTTTAAAAAGAAAACCAAAGAGCCTCACCACAAGGCAAACAGAATTGTAGCTGTTAATGATTTCATATTACTTGAATCAACAGTTAACACCCTTGGTACCAGTAGTCAGAAAATTGGAAGAACTATTGCATTGGACAAGTCCACTGTCAGGGACCTCTCCAAAATACTGGAGGCCAATGATGTCAGTTTGAAGACAAGGTGCACCTGATTCCGGCCATGGTCTTGATCACCTACTACACTTCAGAGAGCTGGACAATGAATAAGGATGACAAAAGAAGAATTGATGCCTTTGAGTTGTGTTGCTGCAGATGAGCACTGACTATCCCATGAACTGCCAAAAGAACGAATATGTCCTGGAAAGGGTGCAGCCAGAGTGCTCCTGGGAGGCAAAGATAACGAAGCTTTGTCTTTCATATTTGGACATGTAGCTAGATCAGGCTATTCCTTGGGAAAAGACACCATGCTTGGAAAGATGGAGGATCAGCAAGGAGAGGAAGAAGCCCCAACAAGATTAATTAATATGGTGACTTCAGCAATGGGCTCTAGTGTGTCAGGGATGGTGAAGATGGCACAGTATAGAGTTCAGAGCTGTTGTTCATAGGTTTGTTATGAATCCTATTCAACTTAATGGAACCTAACAACAATAACAACAATAATTCTGAGAAAGTAATAAAGGGGGAAGAGAAAGTGATAAGACAAGGAAATAACAAAAATGAAAAAAAGAAGATTGGTGAGACTGGCTTTAAAATCAGCATGCCTCGGTCTCTCATCAGATAGCCATCAATCAAAGTTTCTACTGGGGGTGCATGGTGAGGGGTAAGATCCACATTTATTTCAGATATCCATGACTGTATGCCCCAGGGCTAAGGATCTTCAGATAAAATCTGGAAGTGACATTTTATTTTATTCTATGCAATGTAATTCTATGCCTAGTAATAAAACTGCATTATTGAGAAAAGAAAAAAAGAGAGAGAGAGAGAACAAGAGACACTAGATGAGGTCTAAGAGGGCAGCAAGCCTTCATGTGCAAATGTTCTTTAGGCTGCTGCTTGTATCACACTTGCTGATACCCAATTTACAGAGTAAGTCATTTGTCCAGAACCAGAGTCAAGGGAGGCAGGAGCTATTCAAGGGCGTGACTGCAGTAGGCATGACGCTTCACAGGTCTTTAGCCTTCCATAAATGGTTTGAGAGAGGGGAATTGTCATGGAGTTGAAACTGACTTATAACTAACATTCCATTAGGTGTCTGAGACTGTCAATCAAACATGAGAAGATTGCCCATCTTTCACTCATGAACCAGCTTGTTGCTTTCAAACTTCCCTACTTTGAGTTGGCAGCCCAAATCCTATCCTCTTGGCCACTTGAGCTCTCCATACATTATCTGTTGTTTTTGTTAGGTGCTACTGAATTGATCATGATTCCTAACAACCCTATGAACAACTATGAATGCTATATATAATCTAGGAGGCCAGAAATCCAAAATCAGAGCATGGACTCTAAGGAAAAGTACCCTCTATCCACTCTGGGACAATTTTTATTTTTTTAAATCTTCATGTGTGATCTATTTTTCCTCTTTTCCTTCTTGCTTACTGTAGTGTTTAATCTGGTTTTTTTTTGTATCTCAAAAGTGATTGGTTTAAAAGAACCCTACACAGAGGTGGACTTAAAGCACTTGTTGCAAAAAATAAAAGAATGCACTTTTGGTATGGATTGCATCTCAAAGTCAAGAAGACAAAGATCTTTACCACTGGATGTCCATTTTATATGTTGTTGTTGTTGTTATATGCCGTCGATTCGTTTGCGACTCATAGCGACCCCATATACAGCAGCCCTAAACCGTGCTCTATCCTGTGCCAATCTCATTGCCTCTGACACACCCATCCCGAGTACCCCAGTCACTGAATCAATCCACCTCATAGAGGGCCTTCCCTTCCTGCGCTGTCCCTCCTCTCTACCCTTAAGGAGTTTAAACTTGATCTAGGGAACAGGTAAATAAGTAAGAAACACACTGCTTTAAAATTGATTCTATCTAAGAGACACATATCTAAGAGAACTGCCATTAGGGTTTCTAGAGATATAAATATTTGGTGGGCTGCCACATCTTTCTGCCACAGAGTACAGTTCAAAACAGCAACTATTTGGTTAGCATCAAAGCATTTAACCACTGTGCCACCAGGCCTCCCTAAGGAATATTAATTTAAAATGTTTGAGTAAGGACATGACTAACATATAAGAACAATATAAAAGCATGAGAGTTCCCCCAAATGCTATCCTTCTATTTCCAATCCCTACTTATATCTTTTTTTAATTAATTCATTTTTTTAATTTATTATTAATTTCAATGAAAATTTACAGAGACTTTGGGTTTCCATTCATTCATTGTTGTACTTTTCTCCCCTCCCAACCCTCCACCCTAGTACACTACCCTCTTGGAAAAGTAAAAGACAAATTCTTTCACTGTTTTACAATCCCTCCCCCAGGTCCACTCCACTATGCAGGCTTCGCTCTAGACTCCTGTCATGACAAAAATACCGAATCATATATCCCTTTCAAACAGTTTTCTCCCTCATCTTTTTCAATGCAGTATACATTATTGAACCCATCTTTCTCGGTCTGCCCCCCAACCCCGATGTCAGTCCTGTTTTACAACAGTGGCACCATGCAGTATTTGTCCTTTTGTGACTGAGATA